ACTGTGGTGGTGGCACCGGGTGGTACTGTGGAGGAGCAGGCTCGTACCGGGGTGGCTCGGGATTCTCTCGCTGCAGTGGTGGCTCAACCCGTGGCAGTGGGGGAGGGTCGGGTAGTTCCCTTCTCTCCTCTCAACCCTGCTAGGCAGCAATGAGTCTCTCCAGCATCTCAAATATTCTGTCAACGTCTTCCCGAAGTGAACCATCCTGGGCTGCTAGGTTTAGTGGGGGTCTTCCTCTTCTCATCTCTCTACATCTACATTTCATAAGGAAGGGTTGAGTAATGATTCATTGCTTTAGTGTTTCTCTAAGTATCATTGTGAGAGGGACGAGTCCGAGAAATGCGGCTCTGATATCAACTGTAAAGACCCCAAAAATTTAAAAGGAAATGTATATAAAGAATATGAGTGCAGAAGCGAAATAAAAAGTTCTGATTAATATCCCTTACACAATAACTTAAACGTACTAACAATACAAAAAATAAGTTCTCTAAAGAAAATAGTAGAAATGAAAGACTATAAGGAAACTAATAAACATCTATGCATCTACTCGCCGTATTCTCGTGGATCGAGCTCAGGAACCAAGTCCTCCTGATCTGAATGGTTAAGTAAAGAATGAGCTACACTAGCCCAATAAAGACATCACATTGTATTACTGTCACATAAATAAAGGTTAGTAGAGAACCAAAAACAACCAATTGAGCACAATTTTGAATAAATTCATTTATCAATAATCAAATCATTTACCGTCCACTTACCTCAGTGGGATTTATAAAAATAACCGATGAAAACAACAACATCATAGATATCATGAATTCATACATAATCTGTAACATAGCACATGTCATACTTTTATATTTCAATCATCAAACAACAGTTGCCCCCTTTTTATCAGCTTGCTAGTATCCATGGGGATCTATAAGGGTCCCCGCTACACGTGAACAATTCCTTTAACAAATTTAATTTCCGGGGCAGTCCCCATACCCCGTCCGGTATGGGCGCCAAATAATAAACCTCAATACCACGTCCGGTATGAGCGCCAAAATATTTAAAGTCTCCATACCCCATCTGGTATGAGACAACGTTCCCGGTAGGGTTCCCTATAGACTCGGTTCATCCACCATCTCCTAAGATATCTAGTGAGGCTGTCAACTTATCCATTTATCAATTCACACCCCTTTCCTATTATTTCTAAATTTTTCCGTTTCCCACATAAACATGAGTACTAAAGCAATTAACGAGCATCCAACAAGGCAAGCATATCATTAGATTCACAAAATCAGGCCAAAATGAAGTAAGCAGTGATTCATGCATTCAAAATCATAGAATAAAATAAACCAGATACCATAATGCATTTAAACTGTAAAATAAATCAAACAGAAATTGACAGAGAAATATGTCTGATTTGGGCTCCATTAACAACCGTAATTAATTATGCATATTTACTCAATTTGTACAAAATATAGTTTTATCATTTATTCAGACTTCAATCCCGTGATAGGAAATAGAGTGAGGGGTCCTTACCTAATTCAACGTCGAAAATTGGATTTTCACTGTGCCTATGGGCAGTCCCTAGATTCCCTGAATTTTTATCCGGGTACTAAAATGAACTTACAGTATCTACACATGTCCCAAATAACTTAAATATCAGACCTAAGGCCTATTCGGCCAATTTCAGAATTCCGGCACGGCGGCTCCGCCGTGCTCCAGCGACGACGCCGCCGCTCGCAGCGGTGATCCGCCTCAGGTCGGCTGTTTTCGGTCGTTTTCGGCCGAATTCAGCCAAACTTGTATTAGTTCCTATGAGAAAACACCCATAGGGCCCTTGGTGAGCCGAAAAAACATCAAAAATCGAAACCTACTGGCATCGGGACTCTTTCGGTGCGGTGGCTCCTCCAGCTCGAGTCGCGATTTGGTATTTTGCTCCGGTCAACCTCGTTTGGCGGCCGAAAATTGCTCCGGTGCGGCGGCGGGTGGCGGTGGTCAGCGCCCCGGCGGCTGGGCTGTCTCTTCAGCGTGGGGCTCCTGGCGGCTAGGGTTAGGG